TTCTCGCAAGGAATGTGAAGAATTCAAGCGCCCTGACTCTGTTCGCAAGGAACGTGAAGAAGTCAGGCGCCCTGATTCTCTTCGCAAGGAACGTGAAGAAATCAGGCGCCCTGATTCTCTTCGCAGGAGGAACGGTCTCGACAGGAGTAGGCTCGGGACCGGACTGGTAGCCGTCGCTCCGCGGCGGCGGCTTATATACCCCCGCCGATGGGCTTTGGCGGGGGCTGCGAAGAGGGGGTTGCCCTCACGTAACACGCTCGACGCGCGTGTTTAGTCGGAGTTGTGGCGCTGAGCGCCACGGGCGTCTGGTCGGCCCCACGTAGTGACGAGGCGGGGGGCGTATCGTCACAATTATTAATAAAAATATACCAGGTCAAGAGCATTATGCGCGAGTACGACTTTTGGAAATGGAAATAGCACGTAAAAACGCTAATTGTAAGATAAAGAAATTAAAAAAGCGTAATAAATTATTGAGACTCATGATTAAAGCAAAACAAAACGTTATTACTCGTTTACGAAAAAAAAAAATTTTGACAGGTAATTTATCAGACAAAAGTCTTTTAAAAGCCTTATTTCGACGAGTGCAAGGTTATCTCTTAACATTTTTAAAAATGCTTTTTCATAAAAACTTTTTCATAAAAAAGGAAATGAATTTAATGAGGAAGAAAAACAATTAACTAAAAAAATGCATTATACTACTTCATCAAGTTTATATAAAAAAATGCGCGAAAAATTTGGTTTTATGTTACCTTCAGAAGGGATTATTAAAACTTGGTTTAATGTCGATTTATGGCCTGGAATTTGTAATACTATGTTTCATCAATTAAAAGCAAAAGTAAATTGCATGGACAATAGCGAACGCAATTACATTTTACTTTTTGATGAAATGAAAATAAAAAAAGGGTTTGATTTTAATGAAAAAAGACAAAAAATTGAAGGCTTTCAGGATTTGGGATCACTGGGACACAACGGTTGCAACAAGTGTATTAGTTTTCATGGTTCGAGGTTTATTACATAATTGGAAACAACCTATAGCGTATGTTTTAACTGGAGGTGCTCTAAATAATATTTTTTTATCGTCTGTATTAGATGAAGTTATACAAGCAACATTAGATACGGGATTAAAATTGCGTGCTATTGTTTGTGATCAAGGCACTAATAACCAAAGTGCTATAAAACATAAAATTTTAAATGATCGTTCTTATTTTATGCATGGAGAAGAAAAAATATATATGATTTTTGATATTCCACTTTGATATTCCATTTGATATTTTCAAATCTATAAGAAATCAACTCTTAAAATATGATATTTTGTACGATGATAATAAAATAGCATCGTGGAATGATGTAAAATTATTATGGCAATTGGAAAACGGCAAAGCAACAAGAGCAGCATGCAAATTATCGGAAAAACATGTAAATCCAAGCTATTTTGACAGAATGAAATGTCGTTTAGCTTTACAAGTATTTAGTCGCAGAGTGTCAGCGGCTTTATTAACTGCAGGAACGACAGGAGGAATTGATACTGACACTGTATTCAGTATGTAATAACATACTGCTGAATTTTTTACAATTCTTAATGACAGTTTTGATTCTTTAAACAGTCGCAACTGTAATAATCCAAATCCAAATGCTTGTGCTTTATCAGAAATTCGGCTTGATGCGGAAAATAATTTAAAACAATTATTAATAGATTGTTCTAAGTGGCGTACTATTATAAATAACGATCTCAAAATACCGCCATGTTTTGAAGAATTGCAAATTAGTGTAAAATCTATTTTACAATTATGGGATGATTTGAAAAACGAAGGAGTCAAATTTTTCATGACTTCTAGAGTAAACCAAGATCCCTTGGAAAATCTATTTTCCATGATACGTACATATGGTGGAACATATAATCAAAATCCGACTTCTAAAGCTTTTCGATTAATATTACAAAAAAATATAGTATTAAATTTATCTAAACCTGCACAATCTGCAAATTGCTTGGACGATGAAGATGAAATTTTATTTCCAAGTACAATACATCTTCACCTGCATCTGTTGCTCAAACAACATCTAATGTACAATTAACTGATACAGTTAATGATTATAAAGATGATTATAATGAAGATATATTGATCGATGTCGAAGAAATTGTTATTGACGCATCATGTAAAAGTGATGATACTTTGGAAGCATCTGCTGAGGAATATTTTGCAGGATTTGTTGCTAAAAAATGTGTCGAAAAGTCAAATTGTCAACTATATCGTTCTTCATTTATTAATAAAAATCGTGAATTAACGAATGCAAGACAAATATTAACGTATTTCCGAGCATATGAAACAAATTATGGCCAGGAATTAGGACATTTATGTCCCTACGGAAGAATTTTCATTAGTATTCAAACTAATAAATGCAGTATTTAATGCAGGTTATCCTAATATTAGAGGAAATTATAACATACTAGATACTCTGTTTCCATTGATGGTACAAGCTGTAGACATGAAGTATCCAGGTTGGTTTCAACATGATACTTGCAGCACCCATAAAAAAAATATGGCAATTTATATGATGATAGTTAAAATTCGAAAAGATTTAGTTTGGTTGGGCGAACAACTACGAGTTCTCAAAAAACGCAACCAGAAAAAACCATGTCAAAAATTAATTAATTTACAGAGTATATAAATTTGTATATTTACTCGCGGCATTTTGTGCGGTTCGAGTAAAAAGATCGCGGCTCTTTGAGCGGAACGATCTCAAGATTTGTATATGTTTACTCGCGGCATTTTGTGCGGTTCGAGTAAAAAGATCGCGGCTCTTTGAGCGGAACGATCTCAAGATATTTATATGTTTACTCGCGGCATTTTGTGCGGTTCGAGTAAAAAGATCGCGGCTCTTTAAGCGGAACGATCTCAAGATTTGCATATGCTTACTCGCGGCATTTTGTGCTGTTTGAGTAAAAAGATCGCGGCTCTTTGAGCGGAATGATCTATAAAAAGCATAATGCAGTTCGCGGCTTTATAGCGGACCGAACTTATATATGGGAGATAATTTAATTTAGAATTCTTTGATATTAAAATATTTTATTTTTTTATAATATATGCTTACCATTATTTATACATGCTAATCAATTTTTCATAAATACAGTAATTGCTTTTCTAAAAGAATTCTAAGTTATGTGTTAATTGGCCTCCACGTGGCATCTCCTGGAAA